CGCATCGTGTGTGTGTGTGTGTGTGTGCGCGCGGGCGCATGTGTGAGAGAGAGAGAGAGAGACAGGGTCACATCACAGTGGAGTCAACTGTCCGTGGCTTATGTACTGCACACACATACCAGCTTCATCACTGTGTCTGTCACGCGACTCTGTTTCCCTTTCGGGCTGTCTTTACATTTATTTTGAAAGCTGAAGCTCGCGATTATGGTAAGGGGCGTTACATTTCCGAAGAGTGCTTGCGGTGTTCGGCCAATCACAATGCACTGGGTCAGCTGGCCAATCAGAGCGGACTGCGCTTGTCGGAAGGAGGGACTTTGTAGAAAACGAAGCGTTTGAGAGAGGCGGGGCATAGAGGACCTACAATAAAGTACAGTATTTGAAAAATAATGTGTTTTTTGAACATTAACATATGTCAACATATTCTGATACACCAAATACACAAAATAATGATCTTTAAAAAAGCATCACATGACCCCTTTAAAATAACTGTTTTCTGTTGTAATATTTTTTTAAATGTAATTTATTCCTGTGATGCAAAGCTGAAGTTTCAGCATCATTACTCCAGTCTTCAGTGTCACATGATCCTTCAGAAATCAATCTAAAATGCTGATTTTGAAAACAGTTGTGCTGCTTAATATTTTTGTGGAAACTGTTTCATTTTCTTCAGGATTCTTTGATGGATAGAATGTTCAAACATACTAAAACTAAAAACATAAAAGAAAATTTTCGTTTGAAACTAAATAAATGTAACTGAAATAAAGTGATTTATTTGATTATAGATTTTATTCCAGCTAGTTGCCGAAGAAACATTTCTCATTTTCATTTAGCATTTTCTCATTTTCATTTAACTTGATGTACTAAAATGACTTAAACTGAAATAAAATTTGTCAAAAACTATACAGATAGATTTTGAAAAACAATAACTAATAAAATGACAAAGACACAACTAAATTACTAAAACTTTAACTAAAATTAAACTTAAAACGAATTCAAAATAACTATATAATAACTACTAACTTTAATAGTATCTCAAGAATACTAAAATAACCCTGCTTAAAGCTACAGTTTTTCATTAAACGAATAAATATAAATGTAATTGCTGTTTAATCATTTTCATTTCTATGCAACATTTTGAGTGCTAAAGAATCTCTGAATTACTTTTGAATCAACTGTGAATTAGTTTGAACTAATTTGAATCAAATTGACCGATTCTGTTGCCATTTTCGCTAATTTAGTTTAAATCAGATGTACAAGTGAAATCGAAATAGAGCCCATTTACTTTATAAATTCACATCAAACACATTGCAACCCTTCTCCTTTAACCACCTGACTCCATTCTGGTATGCTTTTTACCATCCAGCCAATTTCCAGTGGTTAAACTCATGTCCTTGTTCCTTAAATATCCTATTTCATGCGGAAATGCATTGGTTTAAGGATGCAGAACGGTCACGACGTTGCATTGCATTTCATGAATTTAACGCTCTCATACTTGCACTAGTCAATCAACATTTAAATATCATAAAGTGCATAAACATCATAGCAATATATTGTGAATAAATGATTAATATTTTATATATCGCTCAGTCATATATAGTGTGTGTGTTTCCTTCCCCTCGAAGGCTCCTTTGGCATTTTAATCAATTTGTAAGATTAAGAGTCTCGCTGATGGACAGAAATGGCCACAATATGCTTCTTGTTTGTCAGAGTTGATTGCAGATTCCTCGGTGGATTAGTGCGAGTGTCAGTTCATCCCTGAGCTGCTTTAATCTAACAGACCTGCTATGCACATAATGCTCATCTGGCTGCAGAAGTTTGTGTTTGTTTTCTACATTAGCTTTATGCTGTTTCTTTGCTTACACATTAATATCACTCGCTCGATGCCGTACTGCAGTGGAACCCTTTATCGTATTACAGAGTGATTATATTTAATTGAAAGAGTGAGTGATGGACGTGCTATCTTTCTCTCAGTCTACCCAGAGTGCTCGGAGCTGAGGTGTGCTAACGGGGCATGTTATAACAGAAGCCAGCGCTGTGACCAGGTGCTCAACTGCCGAGACGGCTCAGACGAGGCCAATTGCAGTGAGTGTATTTCCCTGGCAGGACACACACATTGACACAGTCATATACTGGATGGCCTGGAAAACGTCTGCGCTACTTTTACAATTGCAATTTTGCAATTCATTTTGAAGCTATAATGTTTAGTCATGTGACTTTTTATTAGCCATTTTGACTGTCTTCACTTTTAAACATTAAGTTTTTTATTGGCATGATCCCATCAAGAACTTTTAACATTCAAGGAGACTTGCTATTGGACAAAAAAATTCCTAATAGTGTAAAAAAAAGTTAGATTTTTAAAATATTTTTTTATACTAAGAAAAAGAAAAGAAAACTGTTCACTAAAAACCAAAAAATGTTATTATATGGTATCACTGTGAAAACCCTTTTGTAACCATTATTTTTAAGAGTATAGAGTAATATTTTACTCAAAAAAAAAAATTTAAATTAAAATTTTTACTCATGCTTATGTTGTTCTGATATTTAAAGGATATATAAAAGCTAATTCATAATATTAATAAAAACTATAATAGCATATAAATATTTACATTTTCATATTATTTGACCTTTTACATTCAATTTTGTTGCTTACGTGTCATTTATATTTGTTGCTTTTTAAAATATTCCTTTTTTTTGTATTTGCTTTTTTATATAATATTTATATTTTATTTTTTCAGCTTTATTTCAATAAACAAAATTTTTTTAATAGTTGATGATGATAACCCTGATTCCGTGAAACACAAAATAAGATATCATGCAGAATGTTCAAGCTGCTCTTTTCCATACAGTGAGAGTGGATGGTGATTTATAAACACCATAGCTCACAAAACGCCATCAAATTTTAATCAATAAATGTAATATATGTGACTTTCATGCTATATTTCAAGCGTTACAAAGCCATTTCATATTTTTTTGTGACTAACAAAGCTCATTTAATTTGTTGTTGACTGATTATCCCATTTGCAGTCTCATTTTTGTCACGATTCGTCACAGCATACGAAAACCAATGGCATTTGCTATCAGTGATGTCAAACCTGGTGCAATGTGTCCAAATGTGACACTTGTGAAATGAAAACAAGCACAAATTATGTTTGACAGCCTTAAAGGGATAGTTCACCCAAAAATGAAAATTCTGTCGTTAATTACTCACCCTCATGTCGTTCCAAACCCGTAAGACCTTCGTTCATCTTCGGAACACAAATTAAGATATTTTTGATGAAATCTGAGAGCTGTCTGACGTCTCTGACAGAAACGTAGCAAGGACATCGGTAAAATAATCCATGTGACATCAGGGGTTCAACCGTAATTTTACGAAGCTACGAGAATACTTTTTGTGCGCAAAGAAAACAATAATAACATAATTTATTTAGCAGTTCTTCTCTCAGAGTTACCGTCTTCCGCCATTTTTCTGAGAGTATCCCAGAACATAATCAACGTAATCAGTTTTGTTTACGTTCAGCATGCGCGCGCTGTCTACTGAACGTAAACAACGCTGATTACATTGATTATGTTATTATTGTTTTCTTTGCACACAAAAAGTATTTTCGTAGCTTCATATAATCACATGGACTGTTTTATCGATGTCCTTGCTACGTTTAATAGCCTTGCTGTCTATGGGAGGGTCTAAGAGCTCTTGGATTTGATCAAAAAAATCTTAATTTGTGTTCCGAGGATGAACGAAGGTCTTACAGGTTTGGAACCACATGAGAGTGAGTAATTAATGACAGAATTTTCATTTTTGGGTGAACTAACACTTTAAATTTTGGTCTGCATCTCACAAGAATCTTTTGCATTGCTTTATATTTGTATTACATTGAACAAATTGTAAGAAAGAAAATAACAGAGTTGGAACAACATGAGGGTGAATAAATGATGACACTGGCTCGACTATTCCTTATTACGGCTGTCAAAATGACTAAAAAACTCAATTTAAATTTTCCACTTAAATATTATCAAAATTCGAATTATATTCGAATTTAAAAGGCATAATTTCAGTTAGGGGGAAAAAAAGCTTTTGGCTTCTCTCCTGAGGCCACAAGGGGGCGCATCGAGCAAAATATTATGCACGTTTCTTCAAAGCGTAATAAATTAACAAGACTATTTTTGAAAAAAAGTGCATACCGTTTAAAATAATGTTTATAAACCATATATAATTAATTAAGTTGCTTAAACAATTAGAAAAAAAAAACAGCACCATGCATGTATGTATAGTTTAATACAAAGGACCAAAAATCATCACAAAGAGTAGGCTACTTTCTTCATTTAAAAACATGAGATACAGTGGGATGGGGGAAAACTGCCATAAAGTCTTGAGACATGTTTTTTAAAAGTTGAACTTACATTAATTTTACATGGCTTTCTAAACATGCTGCTCTCTTGTGCGAGACGCGAGTGCAACGCTGATAGATGTCCCTCTAGAAAATGTGATAAATGTGCATTCTGTGTGAACGGCTTGGTTTCAGTTTCGCCGTAAACAACATCTTCTCCACACTGATGCTCTCATTTTTCGCTATATATTAAATGAACAACGTAGCAGCGCCGCATCTAGTGGGTTCAACTGGATAGGCTAACAAAAGCATTAAAATGCAATGACACTTTCATTGTCGTTAACATTTCGTGCGCGACTGATGAGGCTGCCTGACAGCTGACGCAAACCTAAAATTCAAATGCAACGTTTTTGCATTCGAATGTGGATTTTTTTTTTTTAATTCGACGAATATTCGAAATTCGAAAAAAATGTTGACAGCCCTATTCCTTATTATACTCTATTGTATGCTGAAATTTGTTTTGATATTCATCCTTTTTGCACCCTTTGGTGTGGTGAAAACATACCAAGTATAGTTATCTTCAGCTTCATGTAACTTTGATGAAATTGTGTCGTGGATAGACATATTTCTTGTTTGTTTTCAGCCCAGCGGTGCAGCAGCGGTCAGTTTCAGTGCAATAATGGAGAATGTATTCCTCGCGGATACGTCTGCGATCATGACGATGATTGTGGAGACAGAAGTGATGAACAGAACTGCAGTATGTATATTTCATTCCACAGTTTCTCAAATCCAGCCATAAAGAATGTAAAAAGGTGACAGGAAGTGGTGTGAATTTTCACAGTAATGTATTCTCTACAGCCTACCCAACCTGCAGAGGAACGTACTTCACCTGTCCCAGCGGCCGCTGCATTCATCAGGTCTGGCTGTGTGATGGAGAGGATGACTGCGAGGGCAATGCGGATGAGAGAGGCTGTGGTGCGTCCCTAAAACGTCCTTCTTCAGCTAAATATTTCGAAAAAATTTTCATGACATGAAAGTATCTTGACTGAACATGGTGTTTTTTGTGGTGTGTTTAGATAATGTCCAGCGTGAGTGTTATCCCGGGGAATGGCCGTGTCCTTCTTCTGGTGTTTGCATCCCTCTGGAGCATATCTGTGACGGGACGGCACACTGTCTGGATGGAGAAGATGAAACCAACACCACTGCTGGACGCAACTGCAGTCAGTTACCACCTAAAAATCACTAAAGCTGATTCCTGCCAGTGTTGTTTTAGTATTGTTTATATACTATTATAGTATTAATTAATATTTCAAATGACCTTTTTTTATATGTTCAGTTTTTATTTTGTGATTTAATTTTGTGCTTTTGTCATTTTTATTAGTCTCTTTTTTATATTTTGATGTAGCTTTAGTTTATTTGATTTCAGTTTGAGTTTCTAGTAATTTTAAAGCAGCACTATGTAACTTTTGGCGCTCTAGCAGTTAATAAACAGATCTGCACACATCCTGCGGAAGAACATTCCAACCGGAGCTACTTCTCTAAGTTTATGCCTATGGCGAGTCACGCAGGTATGTGTTACTCTGCAGTGGTGATGACCCGACCAGGCTACAATAGTCCAAATATAAGTACTTATTATAAGTGTACCGTAGTGATTCGGGATAAGACAACATAGTGCTGCTTTAATGCTTCAACTTAAAGGGGTCATATGATGCTGCTAAAAAGGTGAAATGTGTTTATGCGGTTTAAGGTTCAAAAAACACATTCTATTCCACATACTGTACATTATTGTTTCTCCTCTATGCCCCGCCTTTCTGAAACGTGTCGATTTTTACAAAGCTCATCGGTCTGAAAAAGCGAGGTGTGCTATGATTGGCCAGCTATCCAGTGCGTTGTGATTGGCCGAATTCCTCAAGCGTGTGACGGAAATGTTACGCCCCTTACCATACTATGATGCTTGTGGCAACCACATGTGACGACCCCCGGGCTGGACTCCGCTTCGTCCTCTTTTGGAAGGCCAAACAAAGTAGTTTCGCTTTCACAACGAAACACACAGCGTCTTCACGACATGGCTGCAGCGGCAGCAATACTACAGCGAGAATAAAAGTTACGCCTTCTTTCTTTGCGTGAACATTTGGGCGGCATTATGCAAATCTTCCCACATAGTGAGGTAGACATGTGGGGGCGTGTTAGAACGAGGCGTTTTAGGTAGGCGTGGTTGACTCTTAACTTTTATAAAGAATATCTCTTTGGATTTGAGACTTTAGTCTTTGCAACTTTACAGATCTTCTTTATGCACCAAGAGCTTGTAACACTCCAAAGAGAAAGGAAAAATTTAAATCGCATCATATGGCCCCTTTAAAACTTATTTTATTTTAGTTAGTCACCTTTTTAAAGCTTTCACTTTCACTTTTATTTTTATATTTTCAATTTACGTTTTAATTTTAGCTTAAATGTTAGTAATTTTGTTATGTGCTTTTGTCATTTGTATTAGTTCTTTTAATATTGCTATTTATTTTTATTGCAGTTTAATTTCAGTTCAGTTTTATTTTATTTATTTTCATTTTATTTATTTAAATTATTATTCATAATTTAGGATTAAATTAACAACTGCAATTAACAATTAACCAAATGCTTTGAATCGTTTTTAGTTAACAGTTTTTTAACATTTAAACATTTCAAACATTATTTTTTTTTCAGTTTTGGTCATTTTAATACTTACATTTTTTTTTTTTAATGTAATATTTGTATTTTATTTTACTTCAGCTTTATTTCTTTTACTGTTAACTGATTTTTAATACACTGAAAAAAGTTCACTCTTTCAAATTGCTAGTAAATTTCACAAATGTGACCCTGGACCACAAAACCAGTCATAAGGGTAAATTTTTTTTTAATTGAGATTTATACGTCATCTGAAAGCTCAATATTAATTGTAATAATATAATGAATAATAAATAAGCTTTTCATTTTCATATGCCGAGATACAACTATTTGAATATCTGGAATCTAAATCTAAATATTGAGAAAATCGCCTTTAAAGTTGTCCAAATGAATTCTTAGCAATGCATATTACTAATCAAAAATTCAGTTTTGATATATTTATGGTAGGAAATTTACAAAATATCTTAATGGAACATGATCTTTACTTAAAGGGGTCATATGATGCGATTTCAAGTTTTCCTTTCTCTTTGGAGTGTTACAAGCTGACTGTGCATAGATAAGATCCCTGAAGTTGCAAAGACTAAAGTCTCAAACTCAAAGAGATATTCTTTATCAAAGTTAAGACTCTGCCACGCCCCCCTAAAATGGCTTGTTCTAATACGCCCCCACATGTCTACCTATACCCCAGCGACTTAACACTGCTTTTGTGGTCCAGGGTCACAAATAATTAAAAAGGAAAGCAGGTAACACTTTGAAATAAATGTGAAAAGTAAAAATAATGAAATAGCATTTTCTTGTAAAACGTACTCAGAATCTTTATTTAGAACAATTTTTTACAGTGTAGTTTCAGTTTTAGATAACAGTAACAACAATTCTAGCCTAATTCACTGTTAAAGACATTGCTGCTGTCTTAGTTTTTGGTTTGGTATGACTTTAATTCTGTGTTTGCTTTAACGCTTTGTACATTTTTGGTTTCCTCTAAGGTTTTCCTAACATTTTGTAGCATTTTCTTGTAAAACGTACTCAGAATCTTTATTTAGAACAATTTTTTACAGTGTAGTTTCAGTTTTAGATAACAGTAACAACAATTCTAGCCTAATTCACTGTTAAAGACATTGCTGCTGTCTTAGTTTTTGGTTTGGTATGACTTTAATTCTGTGTTTGCTTTAACGCTTTGTACATTTTCGGTTTCCTCTAAGGTTTTCCTAACATTTTGTGTGCTGTATGGCGGTGTTTTGTGTCAGGTATCTGGCGCTGTGCATCTCTGAGCTGTGAGCATCACTGTCGCTCCTCTCCTGACGGAGGAACCTGTGCCTGTCCGTCGGGATACGTGGTCAGCAGAAACGACAGCCGCTCATGCATTGGTAAAACCTTTGATTGGTGATTACAAATAGTTGCTCATATTCAGTCAAACCGGTGACTTGCCATCAACTCTCCCTGTACTCTGTGCACGTCTTTGCAGATTACGATGACTGTAGTCTGTGGGGCATGTGTGACCAGCTGTGTGCGGATCGGATCGGAAGCCATCGCTGCAGCTGTCGGGACGGTTACCTTCTGGAGCAGCACAAATACTGCCGCGCAAATCCCTCATGTGAGTCCCTTCAGGCCTCTTATATGCTGCCTACAGTATATACTCAATCTCTGTGTTTGATGAAGGGCTGTAACGGATTCACTTCAAGTTTATTTTGTTTCAATGTTACAGCCAGAAAGTATTCTGCTATCAGTCAGAGATTAGTGTCAAAGTACCATCCATATGGCAGTAATATACAGCTATAACATAATGCAAGTAATGTGCACTGAAAATGTTTTTACTTATGTTTTTATTTTAAATGTTTTAAAATTTCACAATTAATTACAAACAAATGGCAAGTAACACATAAAATAAAAATTTAAATTTTGAAGTAGAAAGACCGAAAGAGTATGTATGTTTCTTGTAAAACGTACTCCAATTTAGATCATCAAATAATCAGTTTTTTATTTCACAGTATGGTTAGGAAACATCATGTATTCAGATTAAACGGACAAAATTAAACCTATTTTGCAGCTTGTAAAAGCAATTGTAGCCTACAATTTAAATATAGTTAAAATCTAGTTTAAAAAATGCACAGTTGATCAAAATGTTGCTTACATATTTGTTTTGGATTTTATAGTTCAAGCTAAATACAAGGCTGATCAGAAGAAATGGACAGCCCCTGAGTTAAATATATGAGTGTCACAGCAAAGGGTCTGAATACTTAGGATCATGTGATATTTCAGTTTTTCTTTTTTAATAAATCTGCAAAAATGTCAACAATTCTGTGTTTTTCTGTCAATATGGGGTGCTGTGTGTACATTAATGAGGAAAAAAATTAACTTAAATGATTTTAGCAAATGGCTGCAATATAACAAAGAGTGAAAAATTTAAGGGGGTCTGAAGACTTTCCGTACCCACTGTATTTGTCACCCAGTCCTAATGGAATTACAGCTCTGTTCTTTTTTATGATAAATCATATAAAATTTTGTAATGTTTATTTTAAATATATTTTACACAGATTTACAAGTATATTTTAATTGTATTTATTTGTACTTTTTTCTCATAAGTCATATTGGATTAATTATTTCTTTTAAATATTTTTATAGAATTTTTTTTTCTCTCTCTGTACTTTTATTCTCATAATTAATCTTATTAAATTTAATTAGTTTTACACATTTAAAAAATATATATATTTATTTACGCAGTATCCTTTTTCTTATATAAATCACAAATTAAATTAATTAATATTTATTTTAAATATATTTTACACAGATTTACAAGTATATTTTAATTGTATTTATTTGTACTTTTTTCTCATAAGTCATATTGGATTAATTAATATTTCTTTTAAATATTTTTATAGAATTTTTTTTTCTCTCTCTGTACTTTTATTCTCATAATTAATCTTATTAAATTTAATTAGTTTTACACATTAAAAAAAAATATATATTTATTTACGCAGTATCCTTTTTTCTTATATTAATCACAAATTAAATTAATTAATATTTATTTTAAATAAATTTTACACAGATTTACAAGTATATTTTAATTGTATTTATTTGTACTTTTTTCTCATAATAAGTCATATTGGATTAATTTATATTTCTTTTATATATTTTTATAAAAATTGTTTTTTTCACTCTCTGTACTTTTATTTTCATAATTAATCTTATTAAATTTAATTAGTTTTACACATTAAAAATATTTATTTACGCAGTATCCTGTTTTTCTTATATTTATCACAAATTAAATTAATTAATATTTATTTTAAATATATTTTATAACAAAGGTTAACACGTATTTTTTCTCATAATAAATCATATTAAATGATTTTATTTCATATATATTTTACACAGGTTTACACATATTTTTAATTGTGTTTCTTTACTCAGTCACTTTTTACCTTAAGAAATCATATTAAATTAATTCTTTATTAAATATATTTGTTTTAAATTTTTGCTGTTACTTCTTACTTACTACTTACTTATATTTTCCTGCATGCTTTCACATAAGTATCTTTGAGACTAATATTCCTGGTGTTAACTGTTATCGTATATATCCATTAATCAGGCTTTTTGCAGCCCGTCTCTCTTCAAGCGCCTCAGTTTGCATTGAATGCCATTGTGCTATTACGCTCCTGAAATGTCTGCCTCCCAACCATTTGTTTGGCAGGTGCTGGAAATGAATAACAAACGCTGGCACCCCACAGCCAATCCCAAACTCTCTCACATTAGTTATGTCTTATCAAAAGTACATTATATTATGTGAGTTCTCCAAAGATTGTCAAACTGTGTCCGTCATTTTGAAGCTTGCCACATTAATTCACTTTGTTTGGCAATCTTCAGCTGGGGTGCCTTCGCTTATATTCTCCAACGGGAGAGACTTGCTGATCGCTGATGTCCATGGACACAACGTTCAAACCCTGGTGGAGTCCCAGAACAGAGGAGTCGCTGTTGGTGTGGACTTCCATTACCAGCTGCACAGAGTCTTTTGGACCGACACAATCCAAAATAAGGTAAAATGGATGACAGACTAACAACAACAGTCCTTCTGAAGTTACATATAGTTGCTAAAAAAAAATAGTATTAGGACTGGCATTTATAAAGTAAAGACATTTATAATGTTACATAAGATTTGTATTTCAAATAAATGCTGCTCTTTTAAACTTTCCATTAAACAAAGAATTTTGAAAAATATGAAGCAGCACTGTTTTCAGCGATGGTAATAATAAGAAATATTTATTGAGCAACAAATCAGCATATTAGAATGATTTCTGAAGGATCATGTGACACTGAAGACTGGAGTAATGATGCTGAAAATTCAGCTTTGTGTCATAGAAATAAATTACATTTTAAAATATATGTATTCAAAAAGAAAACAGTTATTTTAAATTGCAATAATATTTCACATTATTACGGATTTGACTGTATTTTTGAACAAGACTTCTTTTATACTGTAAATGTCTGTATGACACTTTTTATGTATTTGCATTTTTGAGTAATTTCCATCAAACAGCCATTATATTCTAGTAGATGTTTAATGCAAGTTAAATACAGTTAACCTGTAGTTAATTAATGGCAATATTTACAGTGTTAATTTGATACATTATGGCCCGGTTTCACAGATGGGGCTTAGCTTAAGCCAGGACTAGGCCTTTGTTAAATGAAGATATTTAAGCAGCTTTTTTAAAAATGCCTTAGAAGAAAACGTTACATGTGTGCATCTTGAGACAGAACAATGGAACTGACATTTTTAAAGATATGTCAGAGCAAGATATTTTCAGTTGAGACAGCTCAAACATGCATTTTAGTCTGGGACTAGCCTTAAGTCATATCTGTGAAACCGGGGGTATGTTTTATAGTTCCAGCTTAATCTAATAATCATCATATATATGTATTGCCCAGTCCTAATGGACTTAGACCACAGTTTATTATATTTCATGGCTAAGTGTGTGGCATTAATGTTTCCCACTTACATTCATTTAATGCTCTGGCACCTGTCATGGTGTAACGCCCCTGTGGACTGTCTATTGTGGTTTCTTCCCCTTTTGTTGGTTTAGCCCGTACCTATCATTAGTTAATGACCCTCATTGTGCTCACCTATTTGCCACTAATTATCCACCCTATATTAGTTCCTGTTTGTCTGTGCTTTGGTTGTCTGTTATTGTGAATGTTACCCCGAGTGTGTATGTCTCCCCTGCCTAAATCTGCCTTGTTGTGTCTACATTAAAAGTCATTATTGGAATCTTTGTCGTCCTCGTCATCCTGCCTGTCTCCACACACCGTGTCGTGACAGAATAACCGACCTTAAGTAAAGTATAGCGGCGTCTTTTCCCTCGTTTGTTTTTCCAGTTTTTGTCAGTTTTTATTTTCGTGGAATGGATTACCCCGCCTTCCAAATCCTCCTGCTGGAGCAGGGGGAACGCTCTCTTGAGGACCACACAAACGACTTTCTGTCCCTGGCTCACCTCACGCACTACCTGGATAACTGCCTCTGCATATTCTATCAAGTTGGACTTAACGCCACCATCCGAGCGCAGTTGTCCGGGGATGGTCCTCGAGAGAGCCTCGCCACCTTCATCGAGTGGGTGCTGGTGCTGGTGCCGATGACGGAGAGCCATTTCCCGCCACGATCCACGAGCCAGAGCGAAGCCCCACGGTTGAGAAGAGGATCTGACAGTGCCCACCACGAGGGAGCAAGCCGTGGACGGTGTGAGCTCCGCCCCCTGCATCATGGCTGAGTGTGAGCTGACTATGGCGGGACATAAGGGCCAGAATATTGAGGGAGGTCAGTGTCAAAACGAGGAGGAGAGACCTCGGGATCCCCAGTTTAGCCCGGGAAGGACTCCTTATCCCTAGTTCAGCCCGGGAAGGGCTCCTGATTTCTCGTTAAGCCCGGCAAGGGCTCCTGATTTCTCGTTAAGCCCGGGAAGGGCTCCTGATTCCTCGTTTAGCCCAGGAAGGGCTCCTGATTCCTCGTTAGGCCCAGGAAGGGCTCCAGACTCCTCGCTTAGCCCAGGACCGGCTCCTGATCCCCAATTCAGCCCAGGAAGGGCTCATGATCCCCAGTTCAGCCCAGGAAGGGCTCCCGATCCCCTGTCGAGCCCAGGAAGGGCTCCCGATCTCCTGTCGAGCCCCAGGAATGGCGCCCGATCCCCTGTCGAGCCTATGAATGGCTCTCGATCCCCAGTTTAACCCGGCAAGAGCTCCTGATTCCTAGTTAAGCCCAGGAAGGGCTTCTGATCCCCAGTTCAGCCCAGGAAGGGCTCCTGATCCCCAGTTCCGCCCAGGAAGGGCTCCAGCCCAAGAGCTCGCTCCAGTGCCCGCTCCTCAAAAATGCACGCCCTCCCACCCGCTCCCTCGTTCCTCCGGCTCCGCCTTGGTCGGGCGTCGACCCGCCATCGCCTCTGGACTCCTCTCCTCTGGCTGCGTCTTGTCGCTCTGTCCCACCGGCTCCGTTGGGCTCCTTCCTCCTGCCAGCTCCACCTTGGTCCTCAGTCACTCCGACTCCGATCTCTGGATCTCCGCCTCCGCCACCGCCTCGGTCGCCAGAGCTCTCTGCTCCTCCCTGGCCCCCCGGATCCTCGGCATCCCCCTGGCTCGTTGGCTCTCCGCCTCGGGCTCCTCCACCACCTGCTCCGCCGCCGTTGGTGGACATTCCTCCTCCATGGCTCCTCACCTCAATCGGCTCCACCGTGGGCCGCTATTATGACTGTGGCCTGGGTCCCACCTGGCTCCTCCTCCTGCTCCGGTTCCCTCCTGTCGTCTCCCTAGCTCCTCCCTCCATCGTCCCCTCCCTGGACTCTGTTAGCTGTCCTCCTCCTGGAAGTCCGCCCTCCGCCGGAACGCCCACCTGTCTGGTCTGCCTGCCAGCCCTTTGCCTTCCCCTGTCACCATCTCACATCCACTGCTTTGTCCTCCTCCTAGTCCCCCTCCGCCCCTCCCTCTGTTTCTACGGTGCAAGGACGCACCTTCTGGAAGGGGGGGGGAGTAATGTAACGCCCCTGTGGACTGTCTATTGTGGTTTCTTCCCTTTTTGTTGGTTTAGCCCATACCTATCATTAGTTAATTACCCTCATTGTGCTCACCTGTTTGCCACTAATTATCCACCCTATATTAGTTCCTGTCTGTCCGTGCTTTGGTTGTCGGTTATTGTGAATGTTACCCCGAGTGTGTGTGTCTCACCTGCCTAAATCTGCCTTGTTGTGTCTACATTAAAAGTCATTATTGGAATCTTTGTCGTCCTGGACGTCTTTGTTGTCATCCTGCCTGCCTCCACACACCATGTCTTGACACATGAGTTCTCAGTTTTCCCGAATTTAATAAGTGACTTTTCACAGATTACTGAACACACACACACACACACACACACACACACACACACATGTTGTGTTTCCATGTTTTATGGGGACATTCCATAGGCGTAATGGTTTTTGTACTGTACAAACTGTATGTGCTATTGCCCTACACCAACCCTACCCCTAAACCTACCCCTTACAGGAAACTTTGTGCATTTTTACTTTCTCAAAAAAACTCATTCTGTATGATTTATAAGCTTGTTTCCTCATGGGGACCTCAAAAATGTCCCCATGACATTTGGTCCCCATAACGTGATAAATACCAGGTGCACACATGCGCACACACACACACACCTTCATTGTGCCAGTCAGTCTGCTCTGATCTCACCTCTCATACACCCCAGCAACAACGTTTGGCTAAAGGCCCAAATAAAGTCTGCCTGTCTCAAATAGAGTGTGCCAGTATCTTTCAAGCCTTCCTAAACTCTTCCTGAAGCAATCAGGCCCGAGCAATATTACATTAACCCTCAGAGACAAACTTTGAAATGAAAATGACATATTTAAAGTGTTTAAATAATGGGTTAAAATGTTCAACTTTCAAATGCATATTTGCAGCAAGTAACACTTTTATAATGTGAATTTTCCAGTATGTAGGAGTCACAGCAGTGACTGCTTTGTATTAAATTTAACAGTTATATAGTATATGTAGACACACTACCATTCAAAAGTTTGTGGTCAATAAGATTTTTAAATATTTTTGAAAAGTCTCACCAAGGCTGCATTTGTTTGATAAAAAAATACAGTAAAAACAGTAATATTGTGAAATATTATTACAATTTAAAATAACTGGTTTCTACTTTAATATATTTTAATATGTAATTTATTCCTATGATGAAAAACTTAATTTTCAGCATCATTACTCCAGTCTTCAGTGTCACATTCAGAAATCATTCTAATATGCTGATTTGCTGCACAAGAAACATTTCTGATTATTATCAATGTTGAAAACAGTTGCACTGCGTAATCGTTTTCTTGAAACTACTTTTGATGAGTAGAAAGTTCAAAAGAACAGCTTTTATTTAAAATAAAAATATATTTAGCAATATTATAAATGTATTTTCCTGTCACTTTTGATCAATTTAAAACATCCTTAATTTCTCTAAAAACATCTTAATGACCATCTTAATACATTTTTTGAACACCAGTGTACAGTGTATGTATTTGTTAAATTGTAGTGTAAATTATATTGTAAAAACTTTTTCGATTTCCAGTGTAGAAAATGCAATGGTGCAATTTTACAGCCTTAAAAAACATTTTTTATTTTTATTTTGTTTTACTAATGTTTAACCAAGATTCATCTCAATACAAAAAATGTGAAGAAAAGAAAAAAATATATATATTTAATGTCAGTGCTTAGTCTCTGAGGATTAAAGAAAAGAGTTTGTGGAAGCTATGATGGAAGTTGGCTCTTCATCAGCGGAAAGGGGATTCTTCAGCTGATGCCTGTAGATACTGCTAATACGTTAATAATGGGCGACCAGTCTGGCTCCTGAAGAGCCGCAGTCACGGTAACTGGCTCGGATCGGTGCTAGACTCCGCGTTTTCTAATCTCCAGAAAGTGTCTGATATGCGGGGAAATGCTTGCATATTTCTGCGTAATTTTATGCAACCTGAGAGTATCTGGAGTGAGCGCGCAGTATTCGTCCCTTTTTTACGCATTATTTGGCCAGCTCAAAGAGCTTTGTTTCAAACTCTTGGCTACTTTGTGATTTGGAGATCAGCCATGGAATAAAAAAAAGTGGGTACATGCAAGAAGACGGGTTTCTGAGTGTCGTGGCAGGGGGTCTCAGAGAGCCACAGCATCAGACCACCTTCACAGCTTGAGTTTCTGTAAACGGGTCAGCTCAGGATCAGTCTTTTAGACGTTTGGCTCTGGTTTCCAAAGGGTGAAGCCTGCAAAGAGCATTGGTGCCTTGGCTTGTGTTATGATGCCAAGGGATCCAGCCTGAGAAACCATGCCATCTTTTAATCGATAGGGCAGTGGTTTCAGAGTACCACCTCTGGGGCAGCGGAGAAAGCCAAACTCGCGGATGTCAGATGATATAAGCCAGACCACAATCTTATTACCCATGATTATTTAAGAAGAGAATGTCATGTCAAGTTTTGATTATGTTCTTGTAGGATTACTGCTGAAAAGACCACCTTAGATCAGTTTGAGTTTTTATAGACTGATTTCATACTGCATACTAAAAAAAAAACTTGAGCTTGAGGCTGGTTGACCATGATGGTCTTTCAAGTGAAGCTGGTTAGCAAAGGGATTTCTGCTGGTTGAACCTGTGTTAATATTATTTTATATACTTTTATTCGTTTTTATATTACTATTTTGAATAAGGTTTTATTTGTAAATTTTCAGTTTTAATTTGTTTAATTTTTAGCCATTGTAGACATTTTGTCATTTTTTTAAAAATATTCCTATTTAGAGTAGGTTTAGTTTAATTTTATTTCGGTTTTAGTTCTGTATTAGTTTTTATTTATTTATTTAGAATGTTCATTTGATTTATTTAGTAAATTATTTAGTAATTTCAACATTTTTCATTTTCATTTAGTTTAAAATATTTCATCTAATAATTATATTTTTATTTCATTTTTATTCCAGTTAACAAAAATGTTTTAGTTGTTATTTATTTAGTAATTTCAGTTAATTTTTTAATAGTTTATGTATTTATAATATTATTTATAATATGTCTCTTTAATATTCATTTTATTTTGTAATTTAGTTAGTGAATTCATTTTTTTTTCAACGTGGCAAAGCAGCATTCCTAATTTTCATTTAGTTTACGTTTTTCATCTATTATTTATATTTAATTCTATTTCATCATTTAAATGTACAATACAATTATTTTAGTTTTTATTCATTTAGTATTTGAAATTAATTTATACTATATATTTAATAATATTTTTTGTATGATATTTTGCCTTAGCAACATTTCTAATTTTCATTTAATTAAAGTTTTCATCTAATATTTTATTTTATCATTTTATTTCAATTATCATGTTTTTTAACATGCTTATATTTTTATATATATATATATTTAAATCATTTTTACTCACTAATTTAGTTAGTAATTCCAGTTCTTCAACTTGCCAAGGCAACATTTCAAATTTTTATTTAGTTAAAGTTTTCATGTAATACTTTACTTTACTTTACTTTAATTAACATGCTTTTTAAACATGTTTACATTTTTCAATAGTTTTACTCTTTATATATTTAGTAATTTCCGTTAATTTATAATATTTATTATTTATAACATTTTACAATATAAATCATATTACTTACTAATTTAGTTAGTAATTCCAGTTCTTCAACTTGCCAAGGCAACATTTCAAATTTTTATTTAGTTAAAGTTTTCATGTAATACTTTACTTTACTTTACTTTAATTAACATGCTTTTTAAACATGTTTACATTTTTCAATAGTTTTACTCTTTATATATTTAGTAATTTCCGTTAATTTATAATATTTATTATTTATAACATTTTACAATATAAATCATATTACTTACTAATTTAGTTAGTAATTCCAGTTCTTCAACTTGCCAAGGCAACATTTCAAATTTTTATTTAGTTAAAGTTTTCATGTAATACTTTACTTTACTTTACTTTAATTAACATGCTTTTTAAACATGTTTACATTTTTCAATAGTTTTACTCTTTATATATTTAGTAATTTCCGTTAATTTATAATATTTATTATTTATAACATTTTACAATATAAATCATATTACTTACTAATTTAGTTAGTAATTCCAGTTCTTCAACTTGCCAAGGCAACATTTCTAATTTCACCTTATTTTAATTAGTAAAAACGTTTTTAATAGTTTTAGTTTCAGTTAACAGTAATAACTCCGGTTTGAACTAGTCAGTTTTAACATATTAAGAACCCTAGCGGTGCCAACAGCAAACCAGCATTCACACCATATGCTGGTCTTTTCAGCAGGATGTCAAAACCTCAACGACAACTTCTCCAACCACAACTTGTTTGCTCCAAATAGGTGTTTTCCGTGGATACGGACGGGTCGCGTTTGCAGGTGGTGCTGAACGTATCCGTGGACTATCCTGAAAACCTGGCCGTGGACTGGGTGAATAACAAGCTGTATGTGGTGGAGGCCAGCGTCAACAGAATCGACATGGTGGACTTGGACGGGAGCAACCGGGTCACGCTGATCGCCGAGCACCTGGGCAACCCGAGAGGTCTCGCGCTTGACCCGACCGTGGGGTGAGTTCCCGAGGGAGACGTCAGACGCTTCCCGTCAACTTTAATCTTACCCTTGCTTCCTCCACCTAATCCGCATCCATTGTAAGCGCAATCGTGAAGCTGATCTCAGATCTGGAACCTCAGATACTGAGAACGGGAATGTTGTACACTGTCTGTGAGGATTAGTCAGACGTAATTAACCAAAGATGAGCTTCACAGAAACCCGATAGGGTCGTTAGGGACAATAAATGCATGCTAAATTGAGAAGTGACAATAAATGCGTATAGTTGCATTACTTTGGTGTTTGAAAATAACGTTCTTTGGGTATTCATTTCAAAATCTCGTTCTTATCCCCAAGGGTTTTATCCGTAAGCCGAAGCTGTCCAAACTGAGCGCTAACAATATATTTGCGCAAATACCATTGAAGACTCTTCATCTCTTTTAGTGCAACATGAGATTAATAAATCACAATTCATCATTATAATGGGATAACATAATTTAGGATTAGTTCCTCTTTCTATTTTAGATGATTAAAACAAAGTCTTGTGTCACAAAGAGGTTGTTGTGTTTGAGCTTAGGTACCTTTTCTTCTCTGACTGGGATACTTTGAATGGGGAACCGGGTTTGGAGAGGGCCTACATGGATGGGACCAATCGCTACGGGATCATCAGGACCAAACTCGGCTGGCCTGCTGGGATTACTTTGGACCTTGAGGCTAAAAGAGTGTATTGGGTGGACAGCCGTTACGATTATATTGAAACCACCACTTATGATGGCTTGCACAGGTATCTTCCTGGGGTTGCAGAGATGTTTTATTTGGAAATGCATGCTGATTTTTTTAGTCTAATAACTCTTATTTGAATACTCCAATAGGAAAACTGTGGTCCATGGCGGGTCTGTGATTCCTCATCCGTTTGGCATTACTCTGTTTGAGCATTCGGTCTACTACACTGACTGGACCAAGATGGCCGTTATGAAAGCTAATAAATACAACGACAACAGCCCACAAGAGCTCTACAGGACCTCTCAGAGACCACATGGCCTGACTGTGGTCCATGCATACAGACAGCCCTTTGGTAAGGAGCTATATATTAAACTGTTGGATGTCGGCAACAAGATTGCAGTGCAGTTTTGGTTCTGGAAATATAGAATTTCATTGTGGTTTTGGTTATAGAAGTACTATCAAAACCGATGAGCCTGTGTTGTTATTGTTAAGTAAAACAGTTAAAATAATTTTTGTTCATTGAAATAAAGCTGAAATCAAATATAACTATTAGATTAGATATTAGAACTTAACTTAAAGGGATAGTTCACCCAAAAATGATAATTTGATGTTTATCTGCTTACCCCCAGGGCATCCAAGATGTAGGTGACTTTGTTTCTTCAGTAGAACACAAACAAAGATTTTTAACTCAAACAGTTGCAGTCTGTCAGTCTTATAATGCAAGTGAATGGGAATCATGGCTTTGAGAGTCAAAAAACATACACAAACAAAACCAAATTAAACCCTGCGGCTCGTGACGATACATTGATGTGTAAAGACACGAAACGATCGGTCTGTGCAAGAAACTGAACAGTATTTATATCGTCTCATAGAGTGTCAATGGTCCATTTGAGAGATAGGTGGCGGTAATGCACTTATAAGTCTAAAAGCAATTTATAAGTAAAGCAAGAAGAAGAAAAAGAAGACGACACGCCGGCTGTCGAGGACACGCTCAGGACAGTTCAGACATTGCAGTGAAAATCAGATTTTACTGTTCAGTTTCTTGCACAGACCGATCGTTTCGTGTCTTTACTTATCAATGTATCGTCACGAGCCGCAGGGTTTAATTTGGTTTTGTTTGTGTATGTATTTTACTCTCAAAGCCGTGATTTTTATTCACTTCCATTATAAGACTGACAGACTGCAAAGGTTTGAGTTAAAAACCTTTGTTTGTGTTCTACTGAAGAAACAAAGTCACCTACATCTTGGATGCCCTGGGGGTAAGCAGATAAACATCACATTTTCATTTTTGGGTGAACTATCCCTTTAAAAAACTTGGAAATAAAAAAAATACTAGAAAGATAATTCAAAATATTATTAAATTCAACAAAAGTAGATAAATATTACTAAAATAATATGACAGCCAGTTTTACCTCAGATTATATTACAACTTTATTACATTACAACTTGTTATTATATAAAACTAAAATTCTGTTTTTTCAAATCAGAAGTCTTGTTTTTGTGGGAATTAACTACTTATTTTATAAAGCATTGCAAATGACGGAATTAAATTAAAAAATGTGCAAAATTGACTTGTTTGAAGTATAAAATACAAAATACTTAAATACAAACGTTATTTTGCATGTTCAAATTTACATATGCAAATGTACAAACACATCAAATATATGCAAATAAATACATGAATACTGTATGTACAAAATGTTGAATATTTATATATTTTATTATATGAAACTGTATATATGGTGCAATTTCTGTTCCCAATGACTTTGTTTACATCTAGGATTTGTTTTTGGTAATGCACTCACAAGTGGTCAGCGCTAAATACAGGTGAAAACATGGCCCGAAAAGTTGTTATTATTTACTGAATCCACACATGATGATAGCCTGATTGCATTGCATCATATTTGTAGTTTAAACATCAAGTTACTCGGTCCTGTTGTATCCAGGATAGCAGGGTTGAATCACTGTGCTTAGGAGAGGTTTTAAACGTAGCCACTTTAAACAAAAATACTGCAGACATCATTCAATTATTGTTATTCTTTTTGTGAGTTATTGACGTGAACGTTTGTTTGATTGGACAGCAAGTAACCCCTGTGGCACCGATCGAGGAGGCTGTGAACACATCTGTGTTCTGAGTCACAGAACTGATAACGGTGGTCTGGGATATCGCTGCCGCTGCCGGATGGGTTTCGATCTGCATGCTGACGGCAAGAGATGCGCGTGTAAGACAGATCTCAGTCATACCTTGTGTCTTTGGTTACCATTGCATCTTTGCATCTTATCATCGTATCATGAAAAACATCCTTTTGAGATGCAACAGTTTGATTTTTTAAGAAATATGCAATATGTGTCTTACAGCTGTGAGGCAGTTTCTGCTGTTCTCCAGTCAGCTGGCGGTCAGAGGAATCCCCTTCAACCTGTCCACGCAGGAAGACATCATTCTCCCCATCACAGGAACTCCATCTTATTTCGTTGGAGTGGACTTCAGTGCTGCGGACAATTCAATTTTCTTCTCTGATACAGGGAAGGACATAATCTACAAACAGAAAATTGATGGAACCGGTGAGAATGGCTGTTTTTTTTATATGCATATATCAGTAAAGCTGCTGATAACTATAAAGATGACGATAAAAATATAGTTGTAAAAATCGTTCTCAATATTAAAGAATAGTCCACACCACAACTATAACGATAAAGGCACAGAGAAGCGATATAATTGGGATCACTTTCAGAACATTTTTTTCCCAGCTGATGAATGATTAAAATATTGACTACCCATCATAATCAATCCTGCTATAACGAGCTTGAGAATTTAAAGAAGTGGACGAGCATGCGATCAGAATAAACAGACGATATCGTCCACTGGTGTGAACGCTAATATAGTATTCTTTATACAGTAGTTATCGTTCTTTGTGTAAACAGGCCTTAATGCTAAACTGCATAAAACAATGCATGAAAATGAATTTTTGGTGCATCATTAGAAGATTGAAATGCAATACCATAATCAACACTTTATTCATTCTTACATTTCATTTATTCGTTTCTATATTTCAACCACAACAGTTATAAACAAGTTGTTTTTTTTAAAGAGGCATTTTTTGCCCCGTATCTTGAATTTTGTGAGCCAGTTTTAAAGGTAGGGTAGGCGATTTCGTAGAGGCTAGCAATAGCAAGCTAGCTTTAAAAGCATAAGATCCCACCCTCCCTGCAAATCACTCTCCAAAGCCACGCCTCCTGCAAAACACATGAACGCACACAAGCAGAGCAAAGATGAGAGATGACATTGTGGAGGTTTGAATCCAGCGTTGTCGGATTACCTCATGTTTTAATCACCGGTGAGAAAACATTACAGTACAAAGCGCATAATATTACAATAACTACGCCTTACATTCTCACTTGTTCTGCAGTAGCGTAATGGAACGCACTGATGATGCATCATATCTGCACGAACAGGATGCGCGGAGGTATGCATATATATATATATATATATATAGACAGGCAAGCAGGACAGTGTCACCGGGCTGACGAGACGAGAGGCGTGCGGATCCATGTGCAAGCTTTATTTAACAAGAGAAGTGGTCAAACACAGGCAGGGTCGATCAATGGCAAACAGGTATATGGCGGGCAAAACACAAGAATAGTCCTAGGGCTAGCGTAGGTCACTGATCGGCAGACAGAATCACAGGGGCGAGACGAGAGGGAAAAATCCAGGAAAACAGGCAAAGATCAGAAACCGAGAGAACAAGCAAGGCAAGGCAAAACAAGGAAACACAGAGACTCGGAACGGGGTACAGGCTAAACAATACTCAGCGGAGAATGGTTGTTTGAGTGGGTGTTATATAGTGAGGGAGTGATACGAAACAGCTGTGTGCAATCAGTGCAATCAGTGCCGTGTGTAATCAGTGCAATGAATGATGGGATATGTAGTCCGGGTGCTATGCAACAGTTTGTGTTGTGCGAGAGTCAATGTAATGGAAAGGGTGACCTCTGGTGGTGAGTGAACGGAAGTCCATGGACAGGATTCGTGACAGACAGCTTATCGTATCCCTTGGACAGAGGCATATGTTTCGACAAACATTTTACAGTCCTACGCCTTCCACAGACGATATAAATTCATAAAATATTTTTTAGACCACTTAGTGATTGCTATCGGAGTGCGAGAAGACTTTCAACCAGCATAACAAAAAAATGTCTTTGAACCAAATCACCTACCCTGCCTTTATTTTCTGACCCTAATTTATAATTGCTTGTATTCACTGGAGTGTTCTTCAGTTTTCTTATTCATTTTGTTGGTGAAAAAAAGCACAAAATCTGTGCTCTGCTTGATGAAATGTCCTTTACTTCTAAGCAGATAAAGGGAGAAACTGATACTCACTGAATACTCCACTCAGCCCTCGGGATATTTGCTGTGTGCCAACAACACATTTTGCTGCATGTGATCTCGCCTATCAGCTGCCTTCAAAGGCCAACTACATGAGATAATGTGTTCGCTGGTGTTGGACTACATTTCTAATAGAAATCCAGGACACTAATACCCTCTTCCCCTGACTCAACCCAAAACAATATAGACTGTTGGCTTGTTTCATTCAACACCTGTGAGCCACATATAAGGGATAGCATATTAATTTACACTATTTTCCCTTAGTAGCAAAGCTGCATTTATTTGATCCAAAAAAGTTATATTAATTTAAAATACCGGTTTTCTATTTAAATAGATTTTAAAATATAATTTATTCCAGTGTTGCAAAGCTGAATTTTCAGCATCATTACTCCAGGCTTCAGTGTCACATGATGCTTCAGAAATCATTCTAATATGATGATTTTCTACTCAAGAAACATGTATTGTCATTATCCATATTGAAAACAGTTTTTTGAAAAGTTCAAGGAGTGGGCTGCGCTCTAATCTTTGCGTTTCTTTGCTTTAAACTGCACAGGCAGGGAGGTTCTAGCAGCCAATCGGGTGGATGGTGTGGAAGATCTTGCTTATGATTGGATATCGAAGAACCTGTACTGGACGGATCCACGCTACAGGAGTATATCTGTCATGAAGGTCGCGGATAAGTCCAGACGAACCATTGTACGAAACCTCAACAACCCCAGATCCATAGTGGTCCATCCAGTGGCTGGGTGAGTGGTTTATTGGCTAGTCTTGTTTATAATATTGCTATTAATATATATATATATACATAAGAAAAGTAGTTAATACTATGGTCTTGCTGTCTACTGCCAGGACAATTGAAATGAACATAACCGTAACCAATTTGGAATGCTTTACATAGACAGTGCATTGAATTAGGTGTTATATTTATATTTTCAGTTTTAATTTTAGTTTAAGTTTTGATATTTGTGTTATGTGCTTGTCATTTTATTAGATTTTTTTGTTTCTATGTAGCTTTAATTGCTTTCATTTATTTTTTAGTTCAGTTTTAGCAATTTTGAGTACTTCAACTATTTATTTATTTTTATCTGGCGTCTTCCATTCAGGCAGTGTCACCCAAAATATTTTTTTTATAGTTTTAGTTGATGTAAACTGTTATTTATTGAATTATATTTATAATCAATATTTGTCTTGCGTCACAGGATACATAAATATGCTATAGTTATGCTGCTATTGTATCTTTTGAAAATGTTTTCGCTATGATGCCTTAATATGATGTCTTACGAGATTTTGGAACAGAACCATTGCTACTGTAGGCCAAAAGTTGCATTCACAAAATAAACACACTCAAACTTCCTCCTTCATGGAAAAAAGGGTTGTGACCGTGAGTTTGAAATCACAGGCACGTTCAAATGTCAACAGATACAATTCAGCGAGCGACCGTGAGCCAGAAACACAGCTCTTTCACCTCGCCTCTCTGTTTCCCTAAGACCATGAAAAAGCATTAACAATCGGGCCACTTGTGTCCAGTCACACCTTTCATAATGCAGGAGGTGCCCAGCCATTCATAGATTGCTCCTGCTTTGAACCTGGCACAGATAAAGGAGCTCTTTATGCCATGCTAGTGGGACATTTCCAATGGCTTCAAAGTCATGAGGCCTCTGGGCCCAGGAGACTAGATTAGTGCTGCATGAAGGCCGGTATTGTAGTGCACACTAAGAACTTGGCTTAACGGGGGAAAACCCCGCAGAGCATTCAGATAAACTGTCTATACCTCACGGTTTATAAATAAAACCCAGCGGATGGTTTCGAATGTGTCCCCACCTATTAATCTGGCTTTTGGTGAGGGCACGGGGTGAAGATTTGTGGTGATTTTGGAATTGTTCCCTCATCCACATGCCGTCCCAAACCTGTATGACTTTTGGCCCCTCTTTTCAGTTTAATAAATGAGGACTGGGGCTGACAAACTCCAAAGTGAATGGTATGTTATAAAAGTAGTCCATATGACTTCTGAAGACTTCAGAAATTGAAGAAATGCAAAAGAAATTAAAAAAAGAACAATTTGAACAATCAAACATTATCAAATATACTGTATATCAAAGATTCTCTGCAAAACACATGAAACACAGTAGAGTAAATCACTGCCCTGAAGCACAGTTCAAGAGGGCACAAATGGCAGCATAAACTGCTATACTGTGATGGTACACAATACTTCATACGATATCAAAACTCATACCTGAACATATTCCACTCGTTGGTCTTTCACTCTGTCAGAGTTTCGTTCGAAAGGGACGCGGTATGCCGGTTTCATCCGGAACCGGTGCTTTCGGAGGATACGATCAGTTGTGGAGAGGCTGATGGCATTTATCCCTCGAAAATTATGATTATCCTCAATCACTCTCCTTTGAATCTCTCGCAGGCGGATTTCATTATTGGCAATGACCATGTTTACAAGCTCCCTCTCTTGCTCATCCGACAAAATCCTTAGCCTGCCTCCACCAGGTGGTCGTCTCTGTCCTACAAAAATAGAAGCACTCATTACTGTAACTGTCACACCCTTTTTACAGGAAAAAAATTTAAACATACTGAAACTCTATCTGTATGCGAGGCAATTTGATGCATTTCTTTATAACAGTAGCATAGTGCAACAGTGTATGCACTCTAAAGTTACTGTACAGAGCAGTCTTACTGCAAGTACACCTACCTGTTTTCCTCCCTGAAGGTTCTGATGGAGGCGATGGTGAAGCAACTCAAATTTGGCTGTACTCGTTGCCCAGCCTCCCTCATAGTCATACCATGGACAAGGACATGGTCAAATAAAGTGGCTCGAATTTCATCGGAGACTGCTTGTCTCCTTGCCCTTCTTCTTTCACCTCGCCTCTCTGTTTCCCTAAGACCATGAAAAAGCATTAACAATCGGGCCACTTGTGTCCAGTCACACCTTTCATAATGCAGGAGGTGCCCAGCCATTCATAGATTGCTCCTGCTTTGAACCTGGCACAGATAAAGGAGCTCTTTATGCCATGCTAGTGGGACATTTCCAATGGCTTCAAAGTCATGAGGCCTCTGGGCCCAGGAGACTAGATTAGTGCTGCATGAAGGCCGGTATTGTAGTGCACACTAAGAACTTGGCTTAACGGGGGAAAACCCCGCAGAGCATTCAGATAAACTGTCTATACCTCACGGTTTATAAATAAAACCCAGCGGATGGTTTCGAATGTGTCCCCACCTATTAATCTGGCTTTTGGTGAGGGCACGGGGTGAAGATTTGTGGTGATTTTGGAATTGTTCCCTCATCCACATGCCGTCCCAAACCTGTATGACTTTTGGCCCCTCTTTTCAGTTTAATAAATGAGGACTGGGGCTGACAAACTCCAAAGTGAATGGTATGTTATAAAAGTAGTCCATATGACTTCTGAAGACTTCAGAAATTGAAGAAATGCAAAAGAAATTAAAAAAAGAACAATTTGAACAATCAAACATTATCAAATATACTGTATATCAAAGATTCTCTGCAAAACACATGAAACACAGTAGAGTAAATCACTGCCCTGAAGCACAGTTCAAGAGGGCACAAATGGCAGCATAAACTGCTATACTGTGATGGTACACAATACTTCATACGATATCAAAACTCATACCTGAACATATTCCACTCGTTGGTCTTTCACTCTGTCAGAGTTTCGTTCGAAAGGGACGCGGTATGCCGGTTTCATCCGGAACCGGTGCTTTCGGAGGATACGATCAATTGTGGAGAGGCTGATGGCATTTATCCCTCGAAAATTATGATTATCCTCAATCACTCTCCTTTGAATCTCTCGCAGGCGGATTACATTATTGGCAATGACCATGTTTACAAGCTCCCTCTCTTGCTCATCCGACAAAATCCTTAGCCTGCCTCCACCAGGTGGTCGTCTCTGTCCTACAAAAATAGAAGCACTCATTACTGTAACTGTCACACCCTTTTTACAGGAAAAAAATTTAAACATACTGAAACTCTATCTGTATGCGAGGCAATTTGATGCATTTCTTTATAACAGTAGCATAGTGCAACAGTGTATGCACTCTAAAGTTACTGTACAGAGCAGTCTTACTGCAAGTACACCTACCTGTTTTCCTCCCTGAAGGTTCTGATGGAGGCGACGGTGAAGCGACTCAAATTTGGCTGTACTCGTTGCCCAGCCTCCCTCATAGTCATACCATGGACAAGGACATGGTCAACTAAAGTGGCTCGAATTTCATCGGAGACTGCTTGTCTCCTTGCCCTTCTTCTCCCTCCTCCTTCACCACGTCCTCCTCTCCCTACTTCACGACGTCCTCCTCCTCTTCTTCTTCTTCTTCTTCTTCTTCTTCCTCCTCCTCCTCCTCTTCCTCCTCTTCCTCTTCGACCTATTCCTTCATTTCTCTGTGGATCCATTGTTCCGAAGCTCAGTGAACTGATTCTGGCCCTTTTATCTATTTATTGAAGGATCTGATTTATGTGTGTTAAATTTTGACTCTTAGTGTTTCCACCTGGGTAATTGTTTGCTAATTGAGCTCAAGCTGTGCTGACTTGAGTGAACAGTATGGAATGCTAGTGCTTTCTAAATGACCACATGGTGTAAGCACTGAGAAATGTAGGGATTTGTGTGTAGAGTTTTGCAGTAACAGTTCACCAAATCTGACTCATGTGTTATAGCAGGGGAATAATGTTTATAGTTCAGCAAAATGGGTGTGCTTTTTGAAAAAGGGCGTTATGGTTTTGAAATTTTAGTTCAAAAGCCTGGTTATAGTGTTTTAGCAATCGAGAAAAACTGTAAAGCAGTGTGTGTCTTTGTGCTCGGCAGTTATATTTTCTGGACTGACTGGTACCGTCCTGCGAAGATTATGCGGGCCTGGGGTGATGGGTCACATGCTCAGTCGATTGTAAACACCACTCTTGGCTGGCCGAATGGCTTGTCCATTGACTGGAGGTGAGTAACAGTTCCCAGAATGAAACTACAACAATACAGCATTCAGTTGTGCTCATAATACTACAAACAATGATCCATTTCTGTTTCATCCATAAACCTTCCTCTCTTTGCTTTAACTTTGATGGCTTTCTGAAGCCGTGATTCATCATTATTTGTTTTGTTGCACATTCAATAGCACACTCACTCCTAATCTCCTTAAATCATGATCTGACATAATCCTGTTTCTCAGCATTGGTCTAAAACTCTCTCTTGATCATGTCTCTGCCTCTCAGTGCCATGCGGCTGTATTGGGTGGACGCTTTCTTTGATAAGATCGAGCACAGCAACTTTGACGGACAGAACAGGTTGTCTTTGGATCGCATCACTCAGATCTCCCATCCGTTTGGACTTACTGTCTTTGGAGGTGCATTTATCTATCTATCTATCTATCTATCTATCTATCTATCTATCTATCTATCTATCTATCTATCGTTCTGTCTGTCTATCTATCTATCTATCTATCTATCTATCTATCATTCTCTCTATCATCCTATCATCTATCTTTCTGTTGTTCGATCTATCTATCGATCTATCGCTCTATCATTCTATCTATCGTTCTATTGTTCTATCGTTCCATCGTTCTATTGTTCTGTCTATCATCCTGTCAATCTGTTGTTCTGACTATCTATCTATCTATCGTTCTATCTATCTATCTATCGTTATGTCTGTCTGTCTATCTATCTATCTATCGTTCTGTCTATCTATCTATCTATTTATCTATCGATATATCGATCTATCTATCGTTCTTTCCATCTGTCGTTCTGTTGTTGTGACTGTCTGTCTCTCATTGTATCATTCTTTATCTGTTGTATCTGTATATCTGTCTACACTGAGATGTGGCTGACTTTTAGAAAGCAGTCTAAATTAAACCCACTGACTGACGAAATGTTAATTTCGCCATTCATTGATGTCTGTCATCATCTCAAAGTCGTCTTAAACATGTTAGTCTCATTGGCCTCTTTTTTGATGATGGATAGTCACGTCTGGTATCTGTGATATTGAAGGTCACTACAACCTCAGTGTAGTTCATCAGTTCGGTGCTGAAAGATAAAAGGGCAGAAGTCAGAGTTCATGGACTGGTATTTCTCAGAGATGGCCTGTTTGATTACATTAATGAAGTTTGCTGGTCCAGGTTATGTGTACTTCACCGACTGGAGGCTGGGTGGAATCGTGAGGGTCCGTAAAACAGACGGAGGGGAGATGATGATCATACGCCGAGGGATCAGCCACATCATGCATGTCAAATCCTTCAACGCTGACTCGCAGATTGGTGAGACTCATATTCCATTGATTCATTTACTTTACTCATTTTTGCATTGAATGTAATGCCTCCACAAAGGTATTAGGGTTTGTAAAGGCCATTTATTCAAATACAGCAAATGAATCAAATGTGTTTGCAATATAACTTTTTTTACTCCCAACAGGATCTAACTTCTGCAACAGGCAAACAAACCCAAATGGAGACTGCAGTCATTTCTGTTTCCCAGCGCCGTACTCCCAGCGAGTGTGTGGCTGTCCATACGGAATGAAGCTGGAAGCGAATCAGCAGACGTGTGTGGACGATCCATCCAATGAGCCGCCGACCCTCCAGTGTGGCTCTAACTCCTTCTCGTGCACTAACGGGAAGTGTGTCCCCCAGAGCTACCAATGTGACGGCGTCGATGACTGCCATGACAACAGCGACGAGGCCAACTGCGGTGCTAATAGTAATGTTTTACTTTATATTTCATGCAAATATTCATGTGCTGATAGATAGTAATGAGCAATCACAAGGACATTATTTTCATTACTTGGGTCATTTTTTCAAAACTCTCAACACGGGTACACTTACCAACTTTCAGCTTGGTACAGCATTAAAAATGCACTAAAACCACCAAAACACTTCATACTAGACAATAAAAATAAATACAACCCAAGCAAATTACATTTGCATCATGCAGTTACATCGTATCATGTATGCTCAGAGAATCAAAACCCATGATCATGGCATTGCTAGTGCCATGATCTACTCTTTGAGTTAAAATAATGCATGCATTTCTATGAGATTTTTAAAAATCTTTTCCCACTTACCATGAAAATAAGCATGTTAATTTTTTCCTCACTCTGCTGGCTCACAGATAACACATGCTCGCCCATTGCCTTCACCTGTGCCAATCAGCGCTGTGTGCCCAGAAGCTGGCACTGCGACGGACACAATGACTGTTTTGATGGCAGTGATGAGAGGGACTGTCCCACCCAGACCCCTGGCACTTGCCAGGCCGACCAGTTCAGCTGTGCCAACCATCACTGCATCCCCCGCACATGGCTCTGTGACACCGACAATGACTGCGGAGACGGATCCGATGAGAACAACTGCGGTGAGACCCAGGGATATTATAGTTAACTAAAACTAAAACCATTAAAAACATTTTCGTAATTTGAAATAAATTTAAATATAAAAATGTTACAACAGCTACAACATTTTTCATTCTCGTTTTGTTTTGTAACTTGAAGTACTAAAATAAGTAACACTAAATAAATTAAAATGAATAAATAAATAAAAATAAAAACTAATACTGTGTATAAAATATGCTGTGTATATTTATTATGTATATATAAAGACACACACATACAGCATATGTTTTGAAAATATTTACATGTATATATTTATATTCATATAATTTATTTATAAACATAACATATTTTTCTTACATATATATACATGCATGTGTGTGTCTTTATATATATATATACATAATAAATATACACAGTACACACACATATTATGTAAACAAAAACTTTTATTCTGGATGCGATTAATCGCGATTAATCGTTTGTATACATATGAAGAGTTTGGTTCCAAAATGCGATAAACGGCATTTTTGAAAAAATTGAGTTTCCGCTAAAATTAGTATTTTATCTGGTCGGTATTGAAAAGTACATTTTTAATTTAACGCAAAATTATTCTGTAATTTTTTTTCCAAATCGCGACAAACGCCAGTCTCCCTTTTTCTACAGAATGCGATATATCTGCTCAACCAATCACAGCGCACCATTCCACGCACTGTAAACAGTAACAACCAATCACAGCGCACCACTCCACACACTCTAGACAGTAATGGCGGTGCTTTGAATACACCTGGCATCCTAGTTTTCCTAATCTATTTTGTATTTTGTGATCAACAAACAAACAAAAAAATTAGGGCGTCACGATAAATCGCATGTGATTGTCATGCGCATCTCGTCAGTAAAGCCGGTTCTGTGAACAGTAAATCTCCATCACGTGCTTTCAGATGGAGCGGCATTTAATACACAGAGCCGTAGATCACTGCTATATCGCGTTCATAATCGCAGATGAGTCGCATTCGATTATGAACGCGATATTGCGTAGCCTGTCAGTGTGTTTTTATTTATGCCATTAATGTTTTTGTTAATACAGCGTATAGCACTAGTCAACTAAATTAATGTAACATGGCAAAGATGAATGCACTTTTGGAAGTTGAATGTAAGGGAAATGTCATTTTGGAATTTCTGTGGTTTAATGTGATATTGTTGTTCATGTATGTTCATGATGAAATTTTCTTTTATTGTTGTAATTAGTTTATAGCATTAACAAGATGACCCGTTGAATTCTTTTTGGAGCTATGACGGATTGAATGTATTTTTAGTCCATTGCCTGCATATAAGATTAGTATTGACCAAGTTCAGAGGCTGTCATATGTGGATCAACTTACTATGTTGTGTATTTTCAACAGTTTCAATATGAAAAATAACTTTTATATTGATTCAATGGATTTATTGCATTTTGGGGAAAAAATTATACAATTTAAAAATAAATCTTTGAAAATCAAAATCTGAATTTTTAATGTTATTATAACCTAAAGATGCTATGTGAAAGTTTGAAACAGAAAATAGTGGTTTTCATCTCGCCACTTTCTTGGTAAAGAAAACACATTTTTACTCAAATTAATCTAAATGGATTTATAGCGTTTTGTAACCACACTCGAGCCAAATCATCACAATTAAAAGAACCAAAGACTTAAACTACTTCAGTCTGTGTGCATTGAATTTATTTAATACACGAGTTTCACGATTTGAGTTGAATTACTGAAATAAATGAACTTTTCCATGACATTCTAATTTATTGAGATGCACCTGTACATACATATATATGAAAAAGTCAGATCTCAAAATGAACTAAAATATTTCTTCTCAAATTCTGTACCAATACCAAATGAGCTGAGCTTTGTGCTGTTCATATTCCACTGTATATTCTTGTGAAGACTTAGTGTCCATTTTTATTTTTAAACATCTGAATGAAACGTAACTGAGAATCCCATTAAGTCTCGAGCTTTGAAAGAGCAAATTTTGCGCGATGGACTTTTCTTATGGTGTCTCTTCTTCTAGATTCGATTGGCACATGCCACCCTGGTCAGTTCCAGTGTCCGGATCACCGCTGCATTGACCCCAATTATGTGTGTGATGGAGACAGAGATTGTGCAGATGGAGCGGATGAACAGGGCTGTGGTAAGAGTTCATTACATGCAGGACCAAACTCTGTTATTGCATTTCATCATTACAGTCCATATTGTTTATATAAAAATGGTTTATATATTAAAAGTGTGTTAATACCATTATAATTCTTCCCAAACTACTATTTCAACATAAACCAGACATGCCCACCAATAGACAAATACATAGAATCTTTCACAATATAAACGGTATAATAAAATCTCTTATGGAAGTTTAAATCAGATCAAACTGATTTTTAGTTGCTGACTTGCTTTTCTTGATCTGAGTGATTCTTGTTCTTCTGGCCATCAGTGTACAACTGCACAGCGTATGAGTTTAAGTGTGCAAACGGCCATCAGTGTGTAAATTCCTACTACCGATGTGACGGGGTGTTTGACTGTAACGATCGTTCGGATGAATCTGGCTGTCGTAAGTATAAACAATAATGCATTAGTTGCATTACATATAGAGTTTATAAATGTGTGAATCTCACAAAAACATTTCCAGGTCACTGTTCACCCTACAAACTAAAGATCTAATACTAAAGATACTATTATTATTATTGTTTTTGCAATGTGACATTATTTTGCATGTCTTATTTTATTTTATTTTATAATTATAGATTTAAAATTTCAATTATTCTGAATGGTGATTCTTATTAAATTTACATTGTTATAATTGTTTTGTAACTGTCTTACACAAGTACTGTAGCAATAATTAAAAACATATATAATTTATTTAAAATAAAAGTGATACAACAAATACAGCATGAATACATTACTTTATTCATTACATTTATTTACACTACTGTACAGTACTGAGGATACAAAATGTTTTGCATTAAACTAATTAAATGTAGGGAGAAATGTGCTTAAGTGTAATGAAAATAATTTTGAAAAAACATTCCTAAAGATGTTACAAAATATTATGTTTTAATTTAATCATTGTAATTTTTATTTTATAATTATAGATTTAAAATTACCATTATTCTGAATGGTAATTCTTATTAAATTGACATTGTTATAATTGTTTTTTAACTGTATAACACAAGTACTGTAGCTATTAGGGATGCACCGATACCGATATTGGTATCGGTATCGGGCCGATACTGGTCTCCTGTACTCGTACTCGTTAAAATGCCCCGATACCGCACAGCATGTGTTAAGCGCCATATTCAAACAAAGAAACACCTACAACAGAACAACATACAGCAGAAAGGAGTTAAGGATGTCTACTACGAAGTATATGTATGCAATGAATATAATGTTAAACATTCATTATTAACGCCTGTATAGCTGATGTGCGCGAGCTGATAAACAAAGCACGCTGAGTGGATTGAGCGCGCGGCGGCGCAGATGCACGAGCTTGTCGAGTGAATGTATCTTTCTCACAGACATCACTGGAAGGTTTGTAGTTCGGTTGGATACGTCAAAAACAAGTAAGTAAAACAATGCACGAGAGAGAGAGAGAGAGAGAGAGAGAGAGAGAGAGAGAGACGCATTTCTGTTGTGTGATCTTTGATGTTCACTCACTTAGCACACACATCATTTGGATTAAAACTTAATCGTAAAAATAAGACCATTTATAGGGGCATTCACTATAAACATCATGTATTTTCAACCTTGGGCATACACGACTTTCTGGCAAAAGTGAAACTAACAGCCTGTGTGAAATGCGCTAAGCTGTACTGTACGTGTCCCTCTCATTCTGCATCAGTACAAATATGTGCACGCGTTGCGCATGTTTTGCTTGCTTGAGTGTTTCTGCATTATATGAGTGGCTTTGGAATATAAATCGCAGCACATTTCAGATGAAAAAATGCGACTTCTATTTCTGAAAATATCACAGTTAGGAGATTTATAACGAGTGGTTCC